CCCTTCCTCTCTTTCAAAATCAATAAGTATATTTTTATATACCCAATTGCCTACATAATAGCATTACATGACAGAGTTTTCTCTTAAAGCCCTTTGAACAACATCTGTTTGTCCTTATTCTCACTAATGCATAATGATTTTTTTTTCTCTAAAGAGATGTATTCACTGAGGGTAGGGGTCATGACTTCTCATCTTTGTATCCCCAACATCTGGTGATAAGGAAACATGACCAAAGAAACAAAGTCTTTTCCCTAAAGGTAATATATTGGACTAGGATGGACAAAGCACTAAACAAATGGAGTTGAGGGTATTTTCAAGGCAATGATTATCGTGAAGGACCATGCAATCTAATCCTGGGAAGTAGGTGGGTAAGGGGCCATGAGAAGGTGGTAGTATCAATGGGTTACAGGCTCCTGTGGGACTGAAGAACTAATTAGGCCAAGGAAGGATTGCTTCTAAATCCAAGTTCATCAAAAGTTTTTTTTAAAACATTTTATTTATTTATTTGTTTACTTAGAGAAAAATTGATTTGTTGTTCCACTTATTTATGCTTTCATTGGTTGATACTTGCATGTGCCCTGACCGAGGATCAGGCCTGCACTTCACTTATCGGGACAATGCTCTAACCGAGCTACCCAGCTAGGGCTTATCAACAATCTTTATGCCTAGATTTTTTTCTGTAATGTAAAGGCCACGAGGTTGATGAATAGAGTTGGAAACCACCAGGCACCAAGAATCAATTACAGGTACAGTTGGGTTTGCATAGACCATGCTTCTTCCTTAGGGGTGCTGGGGATCCACAGCTCTTTGCATTGGTTGTAGTCTGCGGAATCCCTAGTTCCCCTGCTCTGTGGAAGACTGATGTGCTGCTCAAACCCTCCTTCAGGACTGACTGAGGGGCTCCTCCCAGCTGCCAGGACTGCTAATGGCAGACAGCCCTCAGATGCCAATGCTCTCAATAGTTTTTGCAACTATTTCTCTTGCTCAAGGTCACACCCTCTTCCCAGGGGCAGCCAACACTTAATGACCAATCAACATAAAGGTACAAAGGCCTGGCCATCTCACCTGAAATTTGGACAACTGTGAAGGACTACCCCAAATCCAGAGCTCCCCTTGGGTTAGTTGCAGCCTCTATGGAGAGGGCTTGCAGCTCTGTTTTCCTCTGCCCAGCCCTACATTCCTCCTTTCCAATCAACAGTTCTTGACCCTAAGGACACACGATAATAAGATCCCCACACACTAGTCTCCCTCAGTCTGAGAATCTGCTTCCCAGGGAACCCAGCCCTCAGGGAACCCAGTCCCCAGGGAACCCAGCCCGCATATCTGCCCAAGTCCCCCAGGTCACAGTCAGACCACTCACCAGATTTGGGGTTGCAGAGCACAGGGGGGCTGCTGCTGAGGGTGGGGCTGCTGCTGAAGTAGCCACTGCTGCCACAGCTGCTCATGCTGCTCCTCCTCACGGCAGACACGATCTTGATCTCCTTGCTGGGGCTGACTGCGGGTGGGAAAACACAAGGTCACTGAGGGTGGTGGTTTTGGTTCCCTAGAGGACGTGGGCTTTCAGCCGCCAGGTACAGAGGCCAGTTACCTGTGCCGGGAAAAGCATTCTGGCTTCAGAGTGAGAAAAGCAAGGATTTGAGTAGCAACTCTGCCATTTCCCAACTGCATAACTTGAGGCCATTTCCTTCAGTTCTCTGAGCCTCAACTTACCCAACTATAAAGTGAGAATAATACTATATCAAGAATTGGTGCATAAAGTGGATTATATAATGTATGTGCAAGTCCTCAGCTACATAAAATATTATTTGAAGAACCACTAAACCCATGCTGAGCAGTCCCTGGAAGGAAGTAAATTAAGTGTTGGTATACACTTAACCAATTAACAATACTGATAAATGCCTCCTGCTTTCATATGAAATCATGAATCACCCAGAGCCATGGAAGAGGAGATTAAAATACACAGCACATATTTAGGCTTTGAAAGTGTATGTGAGACAGAGGCTTCAATGATCTGATCTGGTTCTCTCTGCCACGAAGTTGGCTGGCTCTCAACAAGGGAGAGGAAATCCAGGTATATATGATGAGTGAAAGAGGCCGTGGAGAGAACTCAGCTTAGTGCCTGGCACATGAGAAACACAAAATAAAAGCTGTTTTTATGGTGACCATGGTTACTATATCCTCCTTACCATCATCATCACTTATTCTGTTGGTCCCATTTAAAAAAAAAAAAGACAAAACTTAGCACTAGTTTTGTGAATAGTTATTCTGAATTTACAGATGACCACACTGTAGGGCGCCCATAAAATGGAGAAAAGAAAAATCTTTCCTCTTCAAGTTATTGTGAGAATTAAGTGAGCAATCAAGCTTGACTCACTGACAGGGGCACAGAAAATTCTCAGTACAGTTGCACGTGTCCTCATCATCACTCCCTATACACAGCCAAGACACCCATGGACATTTTGCCCTCACGTTAAGCCCAGAGCATTCAGACCTTAGGCCAAACACAGTCAATGCCAAGTTTTCAGAGGATCTGATACCCGTTTAAGCTCCTCAGCCTCTCACACAGAATGACACATCAGGCTAACATCTTCTGGATGAATGCAATTATATTTGAGAACATCAGTCACTATCATTTCTGTCAGGCTTAACTGTCAATATGAGACTGTTTAATCTTACATGTAATATCCCAAGCTATTGTGCTTTATGAGCTGATTTCTGCTTTCCACAGTTTTTCTTTGTTCTGTGTCACCCTTTCATAATTGATTGATAACCAGTTGCCTTTTAGTTGCATATGCCCTCCGAAGTCTTTATTCGTTCTTAAAATCTATAGCTTTTCAGTGCTGTAATTTAGAACACTGTACAACTAATGATAATAATTTATTACAAATGAAAAGTAAATAAGGTGTGAGTAACAGCTTGAGAGGTCTTCTTTTTTATTTATTAAATTTGTTGGGGTGACATTGGTCAACATGAACATATAGGTTTCAGGTCTTCAGAGTTCTTCTATAACTCAAATACACAATTTTATAAAACAGACTTCATTGATAATCTAATTTGACTCCCCAGGAACAATTTGGTGGTTGTTTTTTTCTTTTGCATACTTCTGGGTTATGAATAAATAAAAATTTGCTAGAGAACATAATTTCTCAAAAGACAAAAACATGTGGTCGAATTAACAATGGAACTGACCTACCTGACATAAAACTGGTAGATTTCCGGTTGTCGTGGCTCTGCTTCCTCAGGCAGAAGGGACTGTCATGCATTTCCTGGGAAGGGGATTTTTCATTGAGCAGCTCCATGAGTCTTCGCCTCCGCCGGAAGTTCATTCTGAACTGGTAGAGAAGATTGCTGTCCACGAATGGGTGCTTGTTGGACACTGGGGAGAAGAAACAACAGATGAGGATTGTCTGACGTCCTGGCCACTGAGTACTGCAGCCAGAAGACTCCAACCAAAAGGCTTAAAGACAGAATTGAGAGCTTCTGCTCAAGATGGTTGCATAGGTAAATGCGATACTCACATCCTCCCACAACCACATCAAAAATACAACTAGACTACAGAACAATCTAACTGAAACCACCTGAAGTCTAGCTGAATAGAAGTCCTACAACCAAAGATATGAATAAGCCACATAGAGACTGGTAGGAGGGATGGAGACACAAAACGGGCTGGTCCCACACCCACATGTGGTGGATAAAAATATAGCCCACATGGCAGGGGGCACACTTGGAGTGCCCAGCTCAGGCGAACAAGAAGGCTGTGCCATGGGACTCTGTAGGACACCTACTACAGTAGGCCACTTTACCAAGCCCACGAGATGTAGCAGCTCTACCTAATACATATATAGGAAGGCTGCCAAAATAAGAAGACAAAGAAACTATGAATTTAGTACTGGTTTAAGTGCTTTATATGTATTAATTTTTTAAATTATAACAGCAGCCTAGGATAAAGATAAACCCAGAGAAGACCCCAGTTAATGGCAGAGGGAGAAATAGGACCATAGCATTTGACTCCAAAGTTCAAGTTTCAAACCACTACTCTGCACTTCCTCTATGATAAGTAATTCCTGTGCTTGCTTAGGTTCTCATGGAGAATTAAAATAGCAACAGTCTTTACACTGTGAACTAAATAGACAAAAGCAACACAGCACATGGCCAATATAAGATCTACATTTGTGTTAATACCAAAATAATTATTTGGATATTAAACACTGGGTACATGGTCTCAAAAAGTAGTCCCATTCCACATGCCTGAAGTTATGAAATGTGGAGTTAAGCCTGTTTTTCTGTGTGTGTGTTTTTCCAACTTCATGCTATCTATGCTGTAACAAAGTTCTTTTCTACTATTTAATAGCTAAGGGAAGTCAGAACTCCTGCATCTTTGAAATAAATGGAGAGGGTTCAATTGTTTATTTGTTCATTTTGCTTGCATTTTTTCAGCAAGCCAGGTCAAAACATGGTTTTATTTTTAGAGATTCTATATGCATTTTGTAATAGCTTTACTAAGATATAATTCACATGTCATATAATTCACCCATTAAATATTACAGTTCCATGGCTTTTAGTATATTACCAGAGTTGTGCATCCCATCACATCAATTTTTACATCTTCAGCACCCCAAAAAAGAAACCCCACACTCCTTAGGAGTCACCTCCAATCTGCCTATATCCCCTAGTGCTAGGCAACCACACTAACCTACCATCTGTCTCTATATATTGGAGTATTCTGGGCATTTCGTATAAAAAGAATCATACAATATAAGGTTCAGTGTGACTGGCTTCTTTCCCTTAGTATAATGTTTACAAAGTTCATCCACGTTCATCCATGTTGTAGCATGTGACAGTACTTCACTCCTTTTTATTGTCAAATAATGAATAATATTCCATTGTACGGAGACACCACATTTGTTTACCTGTGCATCAGTTGGTGAACATGTTTCCACTTAGTGGTTATGAATAATGCTGCTATTAACATTCATGTACACTTTTCTGTGTGGACATACATCATCATTTCCCTTGGGTTTATAGCTAGGAATGGAATGGGAAGATTACATGGTAACTCTATATTTAATGATTTGAGGAACTGCTGGACTCTTCTCCAATTAGAATACCCCATTTTACATTCTCATTTACAGCAGTGTAGGAGGTTCCAGTTTCTCCACATCCATATGAATGTCATTGTTCATCTTTTTTATTATACTTATCCTAAGTGGTGTGAAGTGGTAGCTGACTGTGGTTTTGATTTGCATTTCTCTGATGGTTAATGATGTTGAGCATGTTTTTATGTGCTTACTGTCCATTTATATATATTCTTTAAGAATTGTCTATCCAGATTCTTTGTTCATTTTTTAAATTGAGTTGTCTTTTTAATAATAGATTTTATTTTTTTAATTGCATTTTCAATTACAGTTTACATTCAATATTATTTTGTATTAGCTTTAGGAGTACACCATGGTGATTAGACAATCATATACTTTACAAAGTGTTCCTTCTGATATTTCCAGTACCCACCTGGCACTGTACATAGTTATTACAATATTATGGACTGTATGCTCTATGCTGTACTCTACATCCCTGTGACTATTCTGTAACTACCAATTTGTACTTCTTAATCCCTTCACCCTTTTCACTTAGTCCCTCAAATCCCTTCCTATCTGGCAACGATCAGTTTGTTTTCTGCATCCACGAGTCTGTTTCTATTTCATATATTCATTTATTTTGTTCTTTAGAGTCTACATATAAGCAAAATCATATGTTATTTACTTTTCTCTGCTGACTTATCTCCTTAGCATAATAACCTCTAGGTCCATGCACACTGTCACAAATGGTAAGATTTACTAGATTATTATTTTTTTTAATATATATTTTATTGATTTTTTACAGAGAGGAAGGGAGAGGAATAGAGAGTCAGAAAACATCAATGAGAGAGAAACATCGATCAGCTGCCTCCTGCACACCCCCTACTGGGGATGTGCTCGCAACCAAGGTATATGCCCTTGACTGGAATTGAACCTGGGACCCTTTAGTCCACAGGCCAATGCTCCATCCACTGAGCCAAACCGGTTAGGGCAAGATTATTTTTTTTAAAGAAGTTTTAGGTTCACAGCAAAATTGGGCAGAAAGTACAGAGTTCTCATATACTCTCTGCCCCTCTGACACAGCCTCCCCAATCAATTATCAAAAATAATTGCAGTTAGTTACAACTGATGAACCCACATTGACACATTATCATCCAAAGTCCACAGTTGACATTAGGGCTCACGTTTGGTGTTGTACATTCTATTAATTTCAATAAGTGTAGAATGATATATTTCTACCATGATAGTATCAGACAGAATAGTTTCACTGTCCAAAAAAATCTTCCATGCTCTGCCTATTCATCCCTCCACCCTCCCTAACCTTGGCAACCACCGATCTTTTTACTGTCTCCATAGTTTTATCTTTTTCAGAATCTTATGCGGTTGACATACAGTTATAGAGGCCTTTTTGGATTGGCTTCTTTCACATAGTCATACGCATTTAAGGTTCCTCCATGTCTTTCCATGGCTTGATAGCTCATTTATTTTTAGCACTGAATAATATACCATTGTACAGATGTATCAGTGTTTATTTAACCATTCACCCTCTGAAGGATACTTGGTTGCTTCCAAGTTTGGGTAAGTATAAATGAAGCTGCTATAAATATCCATGTGCAGACTTTTGTGTGAACATAAGTTTTCAAATCCTCTGGGTAAATATCAAGAAGCATGACTGCTGGGTCATATGGTTAGAGTCTGTTTAGTTTTATCAGAAACTGCCAAACCATCTTCCAAAGTGGCTGTAAGGCTTTCAATTCCCCCAGCAGTGAATGAGAGACCCTGCTGTTCCACATCCTCTCTAGCACTTGGCATCATCGAGTTCTGGATTTGGGCCATTCTAATAGGTGTATAGTGAACAAATCTTTTTGATTTGCTTCACATATGATGTTGAGCATCTTTTCATATTTGTTTTCCATCTGTATATTTTCTTTGGTGACATGTCTGTTCAAGTCTTTAGCCCATTTTTTAAAAATCAGGTTGTTCATTTTCTAATTGTTGAGTTTTGAATTCTTTGTATATTTTTAATAACAGTCCTCTTTCAAATATGTCTTTTTCAAATATTTTCTCCCATTCTGTGGCTTGGCTCCTCATTCTCTTCATGGGTTGTCTTTTTATTATTAAGTTGTAATAGATCTACATGTATTCTAGAAATGAGCCCTTTATTGGGTATATTGTTTCCAAATATTTTATCCCATTCTGTGAGTTGTCTTTTCACTTTCTTGATGGTACCCTCTGAAGCACAAAGGTTTTTAATTCTGATGATGTTTATTTTTATCTTTTTATCTGTTTAAATTTATTTTTCCTTTTGCCACTTGTGCTTTTAGTGTCATGTCTAAGAAACCATTTTATATGCATTTAAAAATAACAATTTTTAAAACAGTTCTTTATATAAACATGAAGAAAAGTGCACTTTGTATGAACTGGCAAAATGGCAACACTTCGTAAATATAGATGCATGCCTGAATGTCTTATGCATATTATTTATTTAGAGCTTAAATGTGGAAGATAAATGAAAATTGGGATGAAGGAATTTATTAGCACCTTTAAGTCCAGTTCCAGATTGTAAAATAGTTTAGTTTTCTAGTAAAAAAGAAGTTTCACATGTTCATTTTTTTAAAACGAAAAAATATAGAAAAGCTTCCATTTTGAACAAAATAGAATTATCTAACTTTCTATCTATCTACCGAATTATGTTGAGCAAAAAACAGGGCTGGCAAATACCAAACTTGATGGAGAGGAACATTCTCCACCCTTTTCCAGTATTTAAATATTGATGCATTCTTATCCTTATAGTCAGAATACCTAGAGGCAAATCATGTAAAAAAAAATCATCATTACTCAAAGAGCTAGGAATACTAAGAAAAGTTACGTAACAAATTCTTGCTCTAGATAAGCTTAAAGTCTAGCAGAAAATAAAACATGCTCACGTGTAACTACTAGTATAGTACAAGATAGAAATTTCAAGTGTCCTAGGAAATTATACATAAAGTGCTATGGAAATTCACCTATAGGTGAAACAAGATTCATTAAAAATTGTCACTAACTGAAAAATAAATGCACACATAGAAGAAGCTTATTTGGGAGCATTGAAGAAAAACCCAAATCAACAATCAACTCCAAAGAATGAAAAGCTAAAAGTTCAGCAACTTAACAAAGAACCTTAAAAGATTCCTTCTGGTAGAAAGGATGGCTCAGCCTCCTATGTCTTACACAGTGAAAGTTTTGAATAATTTTTTTTGAGATGTACTGTGATCCTCCATTACTGAGTCTTTAGATTGTTTTCAGTATTTTTTTTGCATCA